TTAATGGTATAACCACGTGGTACCACAAGTGGTGGTACCACGTGGTTATACCTCTCACTTATATATATACATACATACATACACGCGTGTTTCCTTTTGTTGCAAATTATTAATTATTAATTTAATTATTAATAATAATAATAATAATAATAATAATAATAATAATAATAATAATAATAATAATAATAATAATAATAATATTAATTAAATATAAATAGCGATTTTATTTTGGCTCCTACAAGATACATATGTATACATATATATATTTATTTATTTATTATCAAGTTGTTCATTTCCTTTATTATTATCGATTATCATTACATCGATTCGTTCGATGTATCGATGTAACGATCGATCGATCGATCGATATTTATCATAATACTATATAAATTTTCAATAATATAATTATATATATATTTTTTTGATGTTAAAAATAAAATTTTATAATTTTTTTGCTTTTTTGCGTTTTTTTGCGTACAAAATATTTTTTTTTATTTTTTTTGTTTTGCTATAATTAATATTTTGCTTTTGTTTTTTAGTTTTTTTCAGAGCAAATACATTTGATTCGAAAAGCAAAATTTTTTTTTATGAGTGAGCAGTGAAAAATATATATATATATATATATATATATATATATACTTATTATTATTATTAATTAATTAATGCGAAATGTTTTCTTTTTTTGTTAATTACGATCACGACGTTTCCGGATTCCTCCTCACGCACACACACACACACGCACGCATTTTCACGGGAATCTCATTTTTTCTATCTTTCGTTAATTATTATTATTATTATCATTATTTTATTTTCTTTCTTTCTTTCTTTTTCCTTTTCCTTTTCCTTTTCCTCTTCTATTGTATGACACAACACTTGCACTTGGGTTTCTTCTTGATCACAACGGGTTCGACTTCTCCACCGGCAGACGGCGACACGATCGTTCTTTGCACGTCGACAACTCCGGCTTTATCATGTTTGGCCGTACCGTTGGTTCCTTCTTTTTTTGTCGGAGTCGTTACGGTCGTGCCGCCGTGAGGCGGCGGTGACGACGACGACGACGACGACTTTTGTTGTTGTGGTTTCGATTGCACGGCCATGACGGCCACGGCATCCAATTCATCTTCTATGGTTTTAACGTTTCCATTTACCGACGTCGGAGTTATCGGTTTTCCTTCTTTTATTAAACCTACTATTTCGTCGGCTTCCCGGCTCAAGTCTCCGTCCGGTCGGAACGGATTATCCCAACCGCTGTCGGTACTGAAACAAAACAAAACAAATGAAAATTAATTTTATCATCATTATCATTACAACAACAAAAACATTTGTTATGTCACTTTTAATGATGGAATAATAATCTTGTGTTTCGTTTTTCTATCACGTGTTGGTGATTTAAATTTTCGTCAAGGTTTTCTTTTTTTCTTCTTGTCAGGTTTTCTTCTTCGCCATTTTTCATACCCAAGGTTTCTCGTATACTAGTTACTGCGCGTAATTGAATCAAATGATGATATTTGTCATCATTGTTATTTATCATACGTACCCGTCGATTTCTCCATCTTTAGGTACAGGTACGACGTAATATAATAATCCGCCATGAGTAGTTGCGGCGGCCATTCTCTCATTTTCAATTCACGATATTTAAATAATAAATAATTAATTAATTAATTTTAAGTTCTCGGGCTAATAATAAATTTTTATTATTATTATTATTATTATTATTATTTCTATTAAATAAATAAATAAACAAATAATTATTTACTGTCCTACTTTAACTATATCATCATCATCATCATCATCGTCGTCGTCGTGTCGTCATCGTCCCAGTTATTATTGTAATTAATGTTGTTTTTTTTAATTATGTCCAACAGGAAAAAAAACAAATAAAATGGCGGATTTCAATAGTGGAAGGAGGAAGGGAGGAGGGGAGTCGTCTCTCCGTGTTATTTATTAAGTTTTTCTCATAATTACTAACGCACACGCACACGCACACGCACCCGAGATCGACCTTGCAAATTGTTTTTGTTCCTCGTTAATAAATTTTTTTTTACATCTTCGCCTCCTCCTCCCCCCTCCTCCTCCTCACCTCTTCTCTCGTTTTGTTTTTGTTTTTATTCTTTTAATTCATTTTCTCTCGGACATCAGAAATTTTGATTGATTTCGAATACGTAAAAATAAAAAGAAATTTTTTTTGCCAAAAATTTAAAAGCAAAAAAAAAAAAAAAAAAAAAAAAAAACTTTCGCAACACGTATATCTATATATTATTATTATTATTACTTAGCGTGGAGATAGATTTCGAGAGAAATAAAAAATGAAAAAAACCGGACGGTGATGAAACACAAACCGGAAATCCCGGATATTTTCCCCCTTTCCGCCCCCTTTTTATTTTCTTACTCCTGCTTTTTCCATACGGATAAAGAGAAAGGTTCTTTATTTTATCCCTCCTCCCCCCCACAAAAAACAATTAAAGTTTCTACTCTTAAGAGAGAGAGGGGGGGGGGTAGAATGTCATTCGTACCTAATAGTACCTCGTCTCTTTTCTTTTCTTTTTATTGTAAAAGCTGTTGCATTTCTACGCAATTTCTTTTACAAAGTTACAAACACTACCGCCGCCACCACCACCACCACCACTTGTCACATTCTTTATCGATTACTAGGGAGGGGGGAAGGAGGGAAATTTCCGTTTACGTTTCCGTGACAAATAAAAAAAAAAAAAAAAAAAAAAACCTTTCGAAAGACGACGTAAAAATTTAAACAAAGAATAAACGACACATATTAGAACAAGGACACCCCACCACGAATCCGTTCGGGAGAAAATAAAATAATAATAATAATAATAATAATAATAATAATTTTCCACCGTATTACAGTCGTTAACCTAGTTTGACCGAATTCTCTCCCCTCCCTCCCTCCCCTCTGTGAAAATAAACAAATAAATCGGGGGAGGGAGCAAAAAGGGAAAATCACATAATCGTAAAAATCCCATTTAAAAATCATTCAGACAAAGCGGTGGGCGAAACGAATTCTTTCTTCTTTCGTACAACAAAAAAAAAGCTCGTCTCTCTCTCTCTCTCTTTCTTTGTTTTCGCAATTTCGGAGCTAAAAAAAAAAAAAAAAAAAAAAATTTTTCTTCTTCCACGTTTTTTTTTTCACCTCATCGCGAATCGAAATAAATCATAATAATAATAATGATAAATGTCACATTTCCAATCGGATGAATCGTAAAATTATATCCAAAAAAAAAATCGTCGTAACGGCGACGACGACGACGACGTAAATAATAATGATGATGATGATGATGATGATGATGATGATGATGACGATGACGATGATAATAATAATAAAATTAAAATTCAACTTTCGGCTACGAGGCCGAGCCCTTAAATCCGTATTAAACAAACAAACACACACAGACACACACACTCATAAAAAACACGAATAATAATAATAATAATAATAAAATGGGTTAAATATAAAAATTACATGCGTGACGACGCATTGTGTACTTTGGTGTCGGATAAATCGGAAAATGAAACAAAACTTAACAAAAAAAATAAATAAATAAATAAAAATTATTCTCGAATATTTTAAACGAAACGATTAGTTTCAAACGAAAGCGAAAAGCAAACTGACGCAAAAAAAAAAAAAAAAAAAAAAAAAATAGGCCAATCGAAAGCTTTCGAGACTTGCGCGAATCGAAATAACGACTCGTCTTGTTGAAAATATCGATTCGCGTATACGTTTCGGCGGCCATATCACGCATCGACCGATCGCTGATTTTCGAAAGCCAAAAAAAAAAAACAAAAAAAAATTTCTAAATAATGATAAAATTTTTGTTTTTTTTTTTTTTTCCCCCTTAAAAATGGCGGGAAAAATTATTTCGACATATTTAAATGTATTCCGAAAAAATTCCGACGTTTAAATTTATTTATTTCGTCGTAGTCGTCGTCGTAGTCGTAAAATTTGAAAAAAAAAAAAAAAAAAAAAACTAAGGCCACGTTTTTTTTTTTTTTTTTTTTTTTTTCCAAATGGGAAAAATCGCACGGCGCCGTTTCGTTTCCCGACTATCATTTATAAGTATATAAATAAATATATAAAATTAAAATAAAATAAATTTTTCTCTCTCTCTCTTTCTCAACTCTTCCATCATCGTTTTGTCTTCTGCTCCCCCCTATCCCTCTCTTCCTCCCTTTCTCCCTACTCCCCACTCCCACTCCCATCGTGCACGATGTACACAACATTTTCATCACTAGTCATTCCTTTCAAATGAAATCATCTTCCCGATTTATATTTTGCACAAAAAAAAAATTTTTTTTTTTCATTTTTACCGAACGCAAAAAAAATTAATAATAATAATAATAATAATATTAATAATGATAATAATAATAATGATAATTTTTCACCGGACATTTTTTTTTTGTTTTATTTTTCTCGTCATTTTCCTTCCCTGATTAGAAAAGAAAAAAGAAAAGAAAGAAAAATTCGCTGTAAATTGCCTTTCAATGTTTCGAATCTTTTTTTTTTTTTTTTATATTTTGCTCCTGACGTGATTTCCTCCCACCCTACCTCCTTTCCTCCCTCACTCCCCACGACCCCCGTTTGCTTTTTTTTTTTTTACATTTTATTTTATTGACATTTCACGTCGTCCTTTGCCCTTTCAACTTATTTATTTATTTATTTTTTTTTTTAAGACTAAAACAGAACGTTTCAAACTTTTTACGATTTTACACAAAGAGAGAGAGAGAGAGAGAGAGAGAGAGAGAGAGAGAGAGAGAAAAGAGAAAAACTTTCGAAAATTGACCTTAACTAAATTAACCTCGAACTAAATTAAAAATTTATTTTAAGCGCGAAAATAATTTAAAAAAAAATATATATATAAATAATAATGATGATGATGATGATGATGATAATAATAATAATAACTAAGAGAACAGGCGTTCGTTTTTTCTGTTGTTAAAAGTAATAAAATTTTGTTAATTAAAAAAATTTTTTTTTTTTTTTTTACACGATTCCAGACCGAAACTTTTGCGTTTTATGTTTTTTTTTTTTTCTTTCTTTCTTTTTACAAAAAAAAAAAAAAAAGAAAAAGAAGAAAAAGAAATTTTGGCAAAAGAACTACAGAAGAAACAAGAAACAAAAAAACAGCAACATGAGAAAAACAAGCGCCCGTAGTAAATTTTTTTTTCGAATCGAATTTTTAACTCACCTCGTTTGCCTTTGGTATTGCGGTTGTATCCCGTTCGGACTGTTTATGGAAGTCATCATGATTGGTGCATCCAATAAATCAAATATAAAATCTCCCGGCGGTTCGGGAGAATGAACGACTAACGGACGTTCGGACTCGAAAAATGAAACTCGAACTTTTTTCGAATCGCAACTGAAAGAAAATAAAAAAGAAAAAAAAAATTTTTTTAAGTAAATAAATTCCAAATTGAGTTTGTGTTATAATCCTTGGAAAATTTCGCAACAACATTTTTTTTTTTTTTTTTTTCTATTCGGGCGTGGCATCTTTTTTCCTTCTGCTTCTTTTTTAAATTGTTTATAACCCTAAAATAATATCGAACAAGCATTTTATAAATTTTCTTTTTCATTCATTTATTCATTCATTCATTCCTTTTTTAGACGGGATAGAAGTGGGAAAGGGGGGGGGGAATGAAAATAAAATGTCGTCAAACGTTTTATAATAAAATTTTTTTTTTCTTAACCCCTTCTTTTTTTTCTTCTTTTTTTTACCCTTTCTGCTGACACGACGACGAAGTAAAAATAATAATAATAATAATTTAAATAATTTATTAACTGGACGTTCGAAACAATTAAAATAAAATTAAAAATGAAGGGAAGTGAGACGAGAGAGAGAGAGAGAGAGAGAGAGAGAGAGAGAGAGAGAGAGAGAGAGAGAGAGAGAGGGACAAACGAAAATTCCAACACGAGGACAGACACGTGTTTGTTGTTGTTGTTTCGATTCAAGCGTTTGCGCTTTGACCGATTTAATATAAGTAAATAATAATAATAATAATAATAATAATAATAATAATAATAATAATAATAATAATAATAATTGGAAACATAAATAAAATTGTGTTTGTGTTAGTGTGTGTATTTGACTTACGACCCCGTTCGGGCAAATACACACAATGTTTGCAAAATAATTGGCAGCAATGCATCATCATCTAATGCCACGTCAAGTATTTGTTACCGTGCTAATTAAAAACCACTGTCAAACAAAAAAAAAATTAACGCCGACATTTTTTTTACTTGTCTCATTTGCAAAATCGTTTTATATGTATTTGGAAAAAAAAATTTTCCCACCGTAACGGTTAAAGTAATAATAATAATAATAATGATAATAATAATGGTAGTGGAAGTAACGAAAAGGAAGATGGCTTTTTACCAAAGTCACCACCGCGTCTACCACCATCACGATTCGCACCTTTTCGATATGAACGCTTTGAAAAAAAAAAAAACATCTGTCAAATAGGGAATAAAAAAAGGAATGAAAAACCGGCGGGAGAGAGGGGGGAGGGGAAGGGAGAAGGAGGGGAGTATTTGCGTGAAGTGAATCGATTTTATCCCGAATCTCACAGGGGTAAAAAAATAAAAAAGAAAGATTATAACG